CTTGGACAATGGACTCCATGCCAATTTCTCCACAGCTTCTAGGATTAAGTAGTTTCCACCCCGCAAAGAGTAGCAGCGCCCTACCCACAGCTAAATTTTTTGCCAACCTCCGAGACCCACTGGTGACCAGGTGTCCCTGTTAGTTTTAGTCTATAGGGAGAAAAGGGGGCGTTGTGCTTACTAGCATCACTTGTGTTTCCCCAAGCTTGCCAGACTGGTGAAAGGCAGAAAAACAATGCACGAAGAGCAAGGGCCCTGAAGTGTGGCAAATCTAGCCTTAGATCCTAGTTTAGGCCTCTCTAGATGAGTGACCTCAAGTGAGTTATTTAATTGCTGTGAACAATGAGGATCATAACAATGTTGCCTCACAGGTGTGTTGTGAAGAAGAAATGAGATGACGTCAGTTATGCACCGTGTTTCACATCTGCCACTTGCAAAGTTCTCCAAATACATGCTGTCATTTGTTACATATGCAGTGCAGTGCAGACAACACTGCGGTAAAACATTTCTGACATGCATTGTTAGGTTCTTACTTTCTTTTAAACCTTCTAGAAATGCTAAATAACCAGTCTAGTCAATATTTTTAAATTACTTTAGAGAAGAGGATTATGTCCAGGTCACAGGACAAAATTCCTTTTAGTCTTGCCTAAAGTTTTTTTAAAAAATTATTTTCATTAGTACCTGTTTGCAATTCACAATGATTACAGTCCTCATGAGTAGCTGGTTCATGTGTGTAAGACATCTTTATTCTTTTTATGTCTCCTTCCCCCTTCCAAGGATTTCTTCGTGGTACTAAGGTTTCCCTTATGCTTTTGGTGAGCACAGGTTCAAAAATCCAAGACTAGAGATATTGTCTAAGTGTTTCATAGCTGCGAAACACCATTATATTTTGTTATCTTGTACTACTCATTGACATGTTATGATCATTAGCATTTTATGAGACTTGGTTAAAAAAAATCAGTGGTATGGAAGGAGCGTTTACTGAAATAAAAACATAAACAACATAGAAGAGCAGGTACAATGATCATACCACAAAGAAGGGGTTGAAAGGGAACTGGTAAACAGCGACTCTGGCACTGGATGTGTGTACTTTGCCCTAAATGAAACATTAAGGAACCATGAAACTTACACCGATAGTCCCGAACGCAGACTTCCTGAATATGAGTGTTTGGCCAGCTTGGTTGGAGTCAGCTTCAAGGTGCTGCTCAGAAACAGGTATGTAGTGTGAGTGTCTGAGACAGAAAGTCGAGGAGAGAACGTATAACAGGCGTTCTTTATTTGGATGAATGAGGGCCTTTGGGAATCTGAGATCTGTGTGTTGTTTTCTATGAATTGAGGGGTTTGCAAGTAGCCTGGCAATTGAGAAGGCTGCTGGTTAAAGTGATTGAAAACCTGAGAAAGCCGTTCCTGTTTATACAGCCTGAAAGAGGCGAGGCTGAGGAGCATCTCCAGCGTTTTGGGGTATCGTGACGCTAAGTGTCTGTTCTCTGCTTCACATTGAGAAAACGGACTCTATGTTGTAACATGAGAGGTGGTTTAGACAGCGAAAAGTTGCTCTATGGTGCAAGTTGAGAGACCAAAATGTTTATTAAATGAAATCTGTATGAATTTTCTGGCTTTATATGGGGGAAATAGTTAACTTCGTTCCATGTCTTAGTTTCCAGTGTGAGGGAGGAAACTTGATTGCTGTTTTCTTCTCTCCATGTTCTCTCTCTCCCTCCCCACCCTTTTATAAATAAAGGTCTCTTGAAACCACATTTGGCCACATTCATCTCAATCAATATTAATGCTGAAAAATGGCAAACACTGCTCTTAAGAATTTTTTTTTAAATTAAGGTAAAATTCACATAACATAAAAATTCACCACTTAAGCCATTTTAAAGTACATAATTTGGCGAGTTTTAGTACATTTTCAGTGTTGCAAACCATTGCCACTGTCTAGTTCCTGAACATTTTCACTATCCTAAAGGAATTCTTGTATCAATGAAACACTCGTGACGTAGTCTTGCTTCCACTCAGCCTCCAAAATCAACTCTGCTTTCTGTATCTATGGATTTGCCTTAGGAACATATTTCTTTTGGAATTTTCTGAATTCTGTATTTCACTCCTCAACTGGAAACTATAGACTACTGTGTGTATCTGTCTGCATCTGTGTGTGTGTGTGTGTGTGTGTGTGTGTGTGTGCGTGTGCAGAAGAGGGGAGATGGTGGGAGGGAGGGAGGCAGGGGGAAAGAGAGGGGGCAGGAATGTGTGAGTGCTTAAAATGAACAGCATTTGTGCGAAACTTCTCAATTTCAAATTATTTGCAATATTCAAACAAAATGAGAACTGAGCGGCTACTTATCGTTCAGTGTAGATGTCTGTCACAAAATAGGCACTGAAATGTAAATCTCCGGGGAGCCAGTCAGTCTTAGGTTATTGAAATATCAACCAGTTCTTGAAATTTGCTTACAATATGGAGAAAGACCTGACTAGGAAACATGGATTCCTGCCTCCTAAGTTAGGGCATAAAGTTTCCTACCCAACAGAATCTGCACCCTAAATCTGAGCTCCTCCTACAATAGCTGGTGACAGCACAATTACTTTTTTTTCCCTTCAGAACAATGGCGTAGAGACCACTCTTTTTTCTGCCCCTCTCCTGGTGAGCAAATCAGACACAGCCAGGGAAACTGAGGGTCCAGGTGGGCAAGTGAAAACACTTAAAAATTAAATAAGACACCATTTTTTCTGTACCGGGGATCAAACTCAGGACCTTGAGCTTGCAGGCAGGTGCAGTGCCACTGAGCTGAATCCCCAGCATCCCCATTTATTTTTTAACCACAAATACTTGTTGTCAATTTGATATTAGCATACACTTTTTATCCATGCTAGAATTTTTAAAAGGTTGGTTAACCTATTCATAGCTTTTAAAAATGTTGAAAATGGGTTAAAAATGTTCTCTCAGGCATCTATTTTTTTGTAAAATGACAATGCTCGCACAGCTTTCTTAGTTAACACCAAATCAACAGAAAAGTTGTGTATTCTGTATTTTGGGGAACATACAAATTATCTTTGGAAGAAATCTTAATTTTCAACTAGGAAAATTGTTCTTTGGCAGGAGAATAAACCATAAGGGCCTGGTGATTTGTGCTTTTAATCTAGAATGTCAAGGCTAGGAAATTTCTGTCACTTTTTATTTGGGAGGTATTTGGAGGATTTTCATTCCACTTTTCATTTTCAGCTCTTTTCCATTTCCTGAGGCCCAACAAATATGTTTTGGCTATTCACATGATTTAGGCTTTAGGGTTCCCTGCCGAAGCCCAAGCTTCTCACTGGCTTTATTGTCATGGACCTTGCCCTCTTCCCAAAGTGTCTGTCCTACTGGCTCCATCGTCCTCTCCCACCTGTCCTCTGCCCTTCTCTCATTTTTGGCTTCTGGGGCCTCCTCTGTAACCTGGAGAGCAGAGACCCTGTACTCATCTTGAGGTACAAATTGACTCAGCTACATTTTCCACAAATGCTTCTCAGTGTCCACGGCAAGTTAAAAATTTCTTGTAACCAACCGAACCTCCTCCTCTAAGCCACCTGAAGCTGGAGATCGCTCACCACTCCTTGTGGCGGTGGCGGGCAGTAATGAGTGTAAAGCAGCTGGAGACACACCGAGCCAAATGTGCCAAGTGTCATTATTCTTTGTGCCTTGCTTAGGCACCTATCAACGAATTTCCCCTCAATAAGAAATCGCAGAGTGTGAAAGAGCTTAATTTGCCAGTTGCCTCCTTCCAAAGGCCAGCATCTGAGTATACTTCGGGTTACTTCCCATGCATGGATGGAAGCATGACCCTATTCTGCAACTTTAGCAAGCCCAGACCTCTGAGTGAAGAGAAAGAACTTGAAAGTGCGTGGGGGGGGCAGAGAGAGAGAGAGAGAGAGAGAGTGAGTTAAAGGACAAAGCAGTCCGTCTGCTGAATCCTCTATCTCTACCCTCCAGACCACATCCCAACGAATCCAGCCCCACCCCGCCCTTAGACCTTTGGGGCTTCTGATTGAAAGTCCAGATACAGGGCCTATATTCAAGGGTGGTTTCTTTCACTGTAGGCATCAGTCGGGCCTATGCTCAACGCGAGAAATCCGGCTGGAGTTTCAATGTTTAGGATCACTTCTGGGGTTTTGGCGCGTTTGACAAAGGTAGGTAATCAACAGGCCGGCAAGGGGAACAGTTTGCCCTGGGGACTTCAGCACAGGGGAGAAAACTGAAGTCATCGGAGGAGTCCTCCTGCAGTCAGTGAACTGCCCCCACCGAATGGCTCTGTCCGGACACGAACGGACCCGAGGAGCCAACCGGGATAACCGGTATTCCTGGTATCCGGGGCATTTGGGAGAGAGGCGGGAAGGGACGCGCACAGCCAGAGAGGGCGG